TGCATATCCAACCAACCTCCTGCCTGCACATCCAACCAACTCCTGCCTGCACATCCAACCAAATCCTGCCTGCACATCCAACCAACTTCCTGCCTGCATATCCAACCAACCTCCTGCCTGCACATCCCAACCAACTCCTGCCTGCACATCCAACCAAATCCTGCCTGCACATCCAACCAACTTCCTGCCTGCATATCCAACCAACCTCCTGCCTGCACATCCAACCAACTCCTGCCTGCACATCCAGCCAACTTCCTGCTTGCATATCTTGCTATCGCTCCTTTGTCTGCACATCCAACTGCTCTCCTGCCTGCATATCACACATCTCTCCTATCTACACATCCAATCTCCCTTCTGCTTGCACATCCAACTACCCTCCTGCCTGTGAATCCAGCCATACTGTATCTGAGGAGGACGCGGGGACAGAGGGATTTGGCTCCCGGTGAGGGACGGTTGGCCGCTCTGCCATTGTGTCCCTGGGCCCCTTAGATTCATCTTTTCCAAACATTACTCCAATCTCCGGAAATAAGTGCGTCACCCATTCCATTCTTCGCTCCGTCTGCTCATCACAGAGGAAATGACAGATATCAGAGATTCAGTGAATCATGCCTCAGGATCGTCCAATCCTCCTGTCTTACCAGCCTATGGAAAATAAAAATGGCGTCTGACACCTAAAGGCCCCACCTGACATGATCGGAGAAGTGACGCCCCCCCCCCCCCTCCCGATCACGCGCCCGCACGCCCTCATTACTCCGCAGACTCTCACTCAATGGACTGTGTTACATCAATTAGTCCGGCTGTGAGGTTGAGCTGTAGCTGCGTTTAGTAGAAGAGCCCCCCTGCGCGGCTCGCGTTTTACGAGTCTCTGAAGCTGGGCGGAGAAGGGGGCGCTCTGCTGTGCCAACGAACCAAACATTTTTCCATGCGTTCTTTTAAGCAGTATCATATGTGTTTAATGGGCTTCAAACGTCAGTGGCTATGTACAACAATGGCTTCTAATGAGTCTCGTCTGTAACGAGCCCTGCGCAGAGTTTTTGTTGGAGTCACATAAAGTCCCCAATCGCAGAATTTTTTCTTTTTTTTCCTCTCTCTCTCTCTTCTTCTCCTCTTTCAGCAAATTGCCTTTTTGTCGGCTCTCCTGTGAAATACTCGGGAACGTCTCCCTTTAAACGGCGCATAAAAGTTTTAACTTTTTCTTTTTCTTAAAAAAAAAAAAAAAGAAAAATCACAATATTCCGAGCCGTGCCTTTCAGCGCAGAATCAAATTATGTCTTTTCATTTCTTTGATTTTTTTTTATTTCATGATTTTTATTCATTCTTGACGCCCAAGGATACGGGAGACGGGCGGTGGCGGCACTGAAGTCATTTCAGAACTGACTGTTTTCCTCCTTCCCCGGGACTCCGATGGAGCAACTGAACTTTGGAAGACTTTTTTTTTTTTGGATAACTTTACCGCTAATGAAGCGTCCTTCTGGGGTTCGTGTATAAAATGAGCCCCACCGCGACTCCGCCCCTGATATGCGCCCAATGGGTTCGTTTATACTCTTTCTCTGCCTTTGTCTGGCAAACACCCTTCAGCTGCTGGACACAGTACACCCAAGATACAGAAAACACGCACCCAGGTAACCCTGCGGGCTAATAAGTGGCCTCACGTTGGGTTTGAGACATTATTACAGGTACTTACATAGCAATGTCAATTTATGCAGCGCTTTACATATATATATATATTATACATTCACATCAGCCCCTGACCCTCAAGGGGCGTACAATCTAAGGTTCCTAGCCCACATTCATACACATACAAGGGCCAATTTAGACAGGAGCCAATTCATCTACCAGCATGTCTTTGGAGTGTGAGAGGAAACCGAAGTACCCGGAGGAAACCCACGCAGGCACAGGGAGAAAATGCAAACTCCAGGCAGGTGGTGCCGTGGTTGGGATTCAAACCATTCACCCTAGTACTGCCAGGTGGAAGTGCTAACCATTTAGCCGCTGTACTGCCCATTTTTTGAGATCTGATATTTTCTAATACAGTCATGGCCAAAAATCTTGCCCCCCCCCCCCCACTGCATCTCTGGCAGTTAATGCACCACGTCACCCAGAAAATTGTTGCAGTTGTAAATGTTTCGGCTTTCTCATGTTTATTTCTTTCGTTTTGTATCGGTGACACAAAAAAGTGGAGAAACAAAAAGCCAAATCTGACCCATTCCACGCAAAACCCCAAAAATGGACCGGACAGAATTATTGGCACCTTCTCAAAATTGTAAGAAAAATAATCGCATTTCAAGGTTGTGATTCTCCTGTAATTTGTCATTAGACTCCCCCGTATCCATGACCAGGTGATGGCAATATAGAAATCACACCGACAACCGGGGGACAATGGGGACAAATGGCCTCCACCTTTCTGTTGGGTGTCTCTGTGTGCCACATGGAGCATGGAGGAGAGGAAGAGCAGCAAAGAATTGTCTGAGGATTGGAGAACAAAAATGGTGGAAAAGCACGGACAATCCCAAGGTGACAAGTCCATCTCCAGAGATCTTCAGGTTCCTGTGTCCACTGTGCGCAGCATTGTCAGGAAGATTACAGCCCATGGCACTGCAGCTAATCTTCCTGGATGTGAATGAAAGAGAAAAATTGATGCAAAGAATACAACAAAGGATTGTTGGAATGGTGGATAAAGAACCTCCATCAACTTCCAGACAAATTCAAGCTGACCTTCAGGCACCGGGTACAACTGTGTCCGCTCTCTCTATATATCGCCATCTGAATGAAAGGGGACACTATGGTGGGAGACCCAGGAGGACCCCACTGCTGACACAGAAATATGGGAGGAGACCCAGGAGGATCCCACTGCTGACACAGAAATATGGGAGGAGACCCAGGAGGACCCCACTGCTGACACAGAAATATGGGAGGAGACCCAGGAGGACCCCACTGCTGACACAGAAATATGGGAGGAGACCAGGGAGGACCCCACTGTTGACACAGAAATATGGTGGGAGACCCAGGAGGACCCCACTGCTGACACAGAAATATGGTAGGAAACCCAGGAGGACCCCACTGCTGACACAGAAAATATGGTGGGAGACCCAGGAGGACCCCACTGTGACACAGAAATATGGTAGGAGACCCAGGAGGACCCACTGCTGACACAGAAATATGGTGGGAGACCCAGGAGGACCCCACTGCTGACACAGAAATATGGGAGGAGACCCAGGAGGACCCCAATGCTGACACAGAAATATGGGAGGAGACCCAGGAGGATCCCACTGCTGACACAGAAATATGGTGGGAGACCCAGGAGGACCCCACTACTGACACAGAAATATGGTAGGAGGCCCAGGAGGACCCCACCGCTGACACAGAAATATGGTGGGAGACCCAGGAGGACCCCACTGCCGACACAGAAAAACATATTGGAAGCCAGATTGGAGTTTGCAAAAACTTACCTGAGAAAGCCAAATTCCTTCTGGAAGAATGTGCTGTGGACAGACGGAACCAAATTCCAGAGGTCATGGGTCTTCCAGCAGGACAACGACCCAAAGGACACGTCACAAAGTGCCCAGAAATGGTGTCAGACAAAGCGCTGGAGAGGACTGAACTGGCCAGCAATGAGTCCAGATCTCCATCCCATAGAGCTCCTGTGGAGAGATCTCAGACCAGCAGTCGGGAAAAGGAACCTTCCAATCTGAGAGACCCGGAGCAGTTGGTGGAAGATCGATCCAAAATTCCAGGAGAGAGGTGGTGGAAACTCATTGATGGTGACAGGAAGCCATTGATTTCAGGTATTTTTTCCAAGGGGTGTGCCACCAAATATTACATGGAGGGTGCCAATAATTCTGTTCAGTCCATATTTGGGGTTTTGGGTGGAATGTGTCAGATTTGGCTTTTTGCTTCTCCATTTTCTGTGTCATACCAATACAAACAAAATAAACATGAGAATGCTGAAACATTTGTCATTGCAGCAATTTTCTGGGTGAAGTAGTGCGTTATCTGACAGAAATGCCGTGGGGGGGGGGCAAGATTTTTGTCCATGAATGTATGTTAATTTTAATGGTTGTAGTTCTCAGGCATGAAATATGAACAAAGCACATCCCTCTAAAGTGTGTACTTGTCTCAGTACAGAGCACTAAGTGTAATTTCTGTCTGCTGCTTCCTCTATCAGCACAAGTCACTTCTGACAAGTTTTCCTGACACCAAGAGAAAAAATGGTGACAGGGGAGGGACCTCCAACATATTGACATGCTCCGCTGTGTTCCTGTGAGCTGTGTGGAGGGGTGTATGTGTCCCTTTCCTCCAATCAGCTCTCAGAACTCTTCTCACTGAACTCTGCAGTGTTTAACTTCTACTTTTGGAAAGCTCAGACAAGCTTTTTAAATTCAGCACTTTGAACAGCTGTAGAGAAGAGAAGGCAGCAGATAAACAGGTACAACTTATGTAGGAGGATTTGTTTCTTCTCTGTGTATCACCTGAAAGAATGGGATAAGTATATGGGGCGACCAAGATCCTGAGCACCATTATCCCTGCCCATACTTTGCATTTTCCAGATGGGCGCACCCAAATCATACAGGTTGATTCTCCCCCAGACCTTACCTCTAAATATGCAGGGCCCACCAATCACACCCACTTTATGGGTTGTCCTACCCAGACTCCACCTCTAAATATGGAGGGCCCATCCATCACACCCACTTTATGGGTTGTCCTACCCAGACTCCACCTCTAAATATAGAGGGCCCATCCATCACACCCAATCCACTAACAGTTGAGCGTGGAATATTTAGTAGCCAGGAAATGTCACGGATGGACTTATTGCACAGGTGGCCACCTATCACGGGACCACGCTTGGAGTCACTGAGCTCCTGAGAGCGACCCATTCTTTCACCAATGTTTGTAGAAGCAGTCTGCATGCCTAGGGGATGGATTGTATACACCTGTGTCCATGGAGGGGATTGGAACACCTGAATCACATGATATGAAGGGGATTGGAACACCTGAATCACATGATATGGAGGGGATTGGAACACCTGAATCACATGATTGGGAGGGGATTGGAACACCTGAATCACATGATATGAAGGGGATTGGAACACCTGAATCACATGATATGGAGGGGATTGGAACACCTGAATCACATGATATGAAGGGGATTGGAACACCTGAATCACATGATTGGGAGGGGGTTGGAACGCCTGAATCACATGATTGGGAGGGGATTGGAACAACTAAATCACATGATATGGAGGGGATTGGAACACCTGAATCACATGATATTATTACTATTATACAGTATTTATAAAGCGCCGACAGTTTGCTCAGCGCTGTACATTACAAAGGGGGACAGAACATGCAACAGTACGAAAACAATACAATGTGATATACGAGGGGTTCGAGGGCCCTGCTCTTTTGAGCTTACAATCTAGGAGGGAGGGGATAGCTGTGGGGAATGGAGTGGAAGGAAGAGTGGAGGAGATGGAGGGGATTGGAACACCTGAATCACATGATATGGAGGGGATTGGAACACCTGAATCACATGATATGGAGGGGATTGGAACACCTGAATCACATGATTGGGAGGGGATTGGAACACCTGAATCACATGACATTGAGGGGATTGGAACACCTGAATCATATGATATGGAGGGGATTGGAACACCTGAATCACATGATATGAAGGGGATTGGAACACCTGAATCACATGATATGAAGGGGATTGGAACACCTGAATCACATGATATAGAGGGGATTGGAACACCTGAATCACATGATATGGAGGGGATTGGAACACCTGAATCACATGATATAGAGGGGATTGGAACACCTGAATCACATGATATAGAGGGGATTGGAACACCTGAATCACATGATATGAAGGGGGTTGGAACACCTGAATCACATGATATGGAGGGGATTGGAACACCTGAATCACATGATATGGAGGGGATTGGAACACCTGAATCACATGATATGTAGGAGATTGGAACACCTAAATCACATGATTGGAGGGAATTGGAACACCTGAATCACATGATATGGAGGGGATTGGAACATCTGAATCACATGATATGGAGGGGATTGGAACACCTGAATCACATGATATGTAGGGGATTGGTACACCTGAATCACATGATATGTAGGGGATTGGAACACCTGAATCACATGATATGTAGGGGATTGGAACACCTGAATCACATGATTGGAGGGGATTGGAACACCTGAATCACATGATATGGAGGGGATTGGAACACCTGAATCACATGATATGGAGGGGATTGGAACACCTGAATCACATGATATGGAGGGGATTGGAACACCTGAATCACATGATATAGAGGGGATTGGAACACCTGAATCCCCTGATTGGGAGGGGATTGGAACACCTGAATCACATGATATGGAGGGGATTGGAACACCTGAATCACATGATATGGAGGGGATTGGAACACCTGAATCACATGATATGGATGGGATTGGAACACCTGAATCACATGATATGGAGGGCAGGGCCAATACTTTTGGCAATATAGTGTATATCCATGTTATATCTGATCTCCTCTCCGGCTCCATTGTTCTCCTCCCTCATCCTCTCTCTATATATAATATTAGATCTCCATATTTGTAACATTTATCTTTCTCGGCTGAGATTTGGGGTTTCTGTGTTTTGTTTTATATTAAAAATCTCCTCTTTTCATCAACGTCATATATTTCTGTGTTCCCAGACAGACAGAGATGGGGGGGAGTGCATTTGGGGTGTCTTTGGGTATGACATAGGCAGGGGGGGCCCAATATTGGAATGCAGGGGCCCCCAGTTTTACCACAGCACATTATTCTCAGTTCTGCCCTCCCCATCCCCCCCAGCCATGTAATATCAGATAATATAATAATAATCCCTCTCTATAACATTCTCATCAATTAAGCGGCTCGTGCAGAATTCCAGCAACCAATCGGATTTGGGCCGCGTGATTAATTCCATCCTGGTACGAGGCTCGGGAATATTAAATCTCAGGAAGAGCCCCCAGAAAACGTTTGTTTTTCTTCATCTGATGTCACATTAGAGGGATGTCGTGAAGGTTGTGAGATTTGATTTCCTGCGCGCTACATGTGCTATCAATTTATATTGGCGGTATGAGGGGTCAGGGGACAGCGCCATTTCACCTCTCGCCGCGGAGAGCGTGCCGCCGATCAGGGGGAGGTGTCTGGCGGCTGCAGCGGACGGACTTATTACAGACTCCAAATCGGGGAATATAAAGATGATTGTTATGGAAGAGGAACTAGGACCCCCGAATCCTGTCTGCCAGCATGGAGGGGGCTGGGCTACGGCACACCCCGGGGTCACGCTCACACCGTACGGCACACCCGGGGTCACGCTCACACCGTACGGCACCCCCGGGGTCACGCTCACACCGTACGGCACCCCCCGGGGTCACGCTCACACCGTACGGCACACCCGGGGTCACGCTCACACCGCACGGCACACCCCGGGGTCACGCTCACACCGTACGGCTCACCCTGGGGGTCACGCTCACACCGTACGGCACCCCCCGGGGTCACGCTCACACCGTACGGCACCCCCCGGGGTCACGCTCACACCGTTCGGCACCCCCCGGGGTCACGCTCACACCGTACGGCACACCTGGGGTCACGCTCACACCCGTACGGCACACCCAGGGTCACGCTCACACCGTACGGCACACCCCGGGGTCACGCTCACACCGTACGGCACACCCCGGGGTCACGCTCACACCGTACGGCACACCCGGGGTCACGCTCACACCGTACGGCACCCCCCGGGGTCACGCTCACACCGTACGGCACACCCCGGGGTCACGCTCACACCGTACGGCACACCCTGGGGGTCACGCTCACACCGTACGGCACACCCCGGGGTCACGCTCACACCGTACGGCACACCCCGGGGTCACGCTCACACCGTACGGCACACCCGGGGTCACGCTCACACCGTACGGCACCCCCGGGGTCACGCTCACACCGTACGGCACCCCCCGGGGTCACGCTCACACCGTACGGCACCCCCCGGGGTCACGCTCACACCGTACGGCACACCTGGGGTCACGCTCACACCGTTCGGCACCCCCCGGGGTCACGCTCACACCGTACGGCACACCTGGGGTCACGCTCACACCGTACGGCACCCCCCGGGTCACGCTCACACCGTACGGCACACCCCGGGGTCACGCTCACACCGCACGGCACACCCCGGGGTCACGCTCACACCGTACGGCACACCCCGGGGTCACGCTCACACCGTACGGCACCCCCCGGGGGCACGCTCACACCGTACGGCACCCCCCGGGGTCACGCTCACACCGTTCGGCACCCCCCGGGGTCACGCTCACACCGTACGGCACACCCCGGGGTCACGCTCACACCGTACGGCACACCCCGGGGTCACGCTCACACCGCACGGCACCCCCCGGGGTCACGCTCACACCGTACGGCACACCCCGGGGTCACGCTCACACTGTACGGCACCCCCCGGGGTCACGCTCACACCGTACGGCACCCCCCGGGGTCACGCTCACACCGTACGGCACCCCCCAGGGTCACGCTCACACCGTACGGCACACCCGGGGTCACGCTCACACCGCACGGCACACCCCGGGGTCACGCTCACACCGTACGGCACACCCTGGGGGTCACGCTCACACCGTACGGCACCCCCCGGGGTCACGCTCACACCGTACGGCACACTCCGGGGTCACGCTCACACCGTACGGCACCCCCCGGGGGCACGCTCACACCGTACGGCACCCCCCGGGGTCACGCTCACACCGTTCGGCACCCCCCGGGGTCACGCTCACACCGTACGGCACACCCCGGGGTCACGCTCACACCGCACGGCACACCCCGGGGTCACGCTCACACCGCACGGCACACCCCGGGGTCACGCTCACACCCGTACGGCACCCCCCCGGGGTCACGCTCACAACGTACGGCACCCCCCGGGGTCACGCTCACACCGTTCGGCACCCCCCGGGGTCACGCTCACACCGTACGGCACACCTGGGGTCACGCTCACACCGTACGGCACACCCCGGGGTCACGCTCACACCGCACGGCACACCCCGGGGTCACGCTCACACCGTACGGCACCCCCCGGGGTCACGCTCACACCCGCACGGCACACCCCGGGGTCACGCTCACACCGTACGGCACACCCCGGGGTCACGCTCACACCGTACGGCACCCCCCGGGGGCACGCTCACACCGTACGGCACCCTCCGGGGTCACGCTCACACCGTTCGGCACCCCCCGGGGTCACGCTCACACCGTACGGCACCCCCCGGGGTCACGCTCACACCGTTCGGCACCCCCCGGGGTCACGCTCACACCGTACGGCACACCCCGGGGTCACGCTCACACCGTACGGCACCCCCCGGGGTCACGCTCACACCGTACGGCACACCTGGGGTCACGCTCACACCGCACGGCACACCCCGGGGTCACGCTCACACCGTACGGCACACCTGGGGTCACGCTCACACCGCACGGCACACCCCGGGGTCATGCTTTATCACCCACTTTAATTGGTCTTTAGGGATTAAAAAAAGTAAAGTTTACCATTGTTAAGATATATATATATATATAGTGTATATACAGTTGTGTTCAAAATAATAGCAGTCAGACATCACTAACCGGATCAATCCCTGTTTTTGGTGGAAATGATATTTCTACATGGCAGATAATTTCCTAGCAGGTGTAGTAGAGTCATAGAAATCCAACAGACCCGACAGTCATGACATGCATGCTGCTGATTCTGTGTCATTGAATCACTCATTGAAAGGGGCGTGTTCACAATAATAGCCGTGTGGAGTTCTATTAGTGACGTCATTCATTCTTTGATAAACAGGTGGCAATTATTGCCCTTATTTAAGGAAGGAAGGCAGCAAATGTTGGACATGCTGGTTACAGTGCATTTCTCTCTGAAATTCCTCGCACTGACACCAGGGACAGGACAGTGTTCCTCCCACTGACACCAGCAATGGGACACTATTCCTTCCACTGACCACCAAGCCTAGGGTATTGTTTACTCCCACTGATGCCGGGACATTTTCTACTCCCACTCCGACCCCCCTAAAGTCTGAGGGGCAGTACTCTGGCACTTTGTTTCAAACGTTTGGAGACCCCCAGTCTTAGGACCATAGAAAAGTGACGGCAGAAAAAACACCCGAGAGCTCCATCCAGTCTGACCTTCGGTTTGTTTTTGTGAACTTTTATTTCTGCTTGTCCCTCGCATGGTGGAAGCTACTCACTGCTGCCTCTGCTGGGGGTGTATTCCCGGCATCCACTACTCCTTCAGTACAATAATACTTTCTGAGATTAGAGCGGACGGGAAAATCAGCGAGCCAATCACACGAGCAGAAAATGACATTTCTGGGGGGGGGGGGGGGGGGCACCCCTTACACCATCTGCGCACAAAACGCCTCCAGGCGGCCATATTGCATTTTACAGAAAATTACAGCAACTGCAGATTGATAAGGAAAGATCATTTTTAATAACATTCAATTACCATATTATTATTATTTCCGGTATTTCTATAGCGCCATGAATTTACGCAGCACACATGTATTGTACATCACATCAGTCTACATGACTTGTCCCACACGGAAGGAAAATCTGTTATAAATATATTCTTCCCAAATATAGTGACATATATTTGAAATACTACAATTTTGGCCGTATTCAATATATTAAAATAAATAAATAAATATATATATATATATATATATACAGGTGAAACTGGAAAAATGAGAATCTGGTGCATTCATTCATTCATTGATTTCAGTGCAGCAACTTGAAAGGTGAAACTAATATATGAGACTCATTCCATGCAAAGCAAGATAGTTCCAGCCGTGATTTGTCATCATTGTGATGATTATGGCTTACAGCTCATGAAAACCCCAAATCCACAATCTCAGAAAATGAGAATCTTGTGAAAAGGTGGAATAATCTCGGCTCAAAGTGTCCCACTCTAATCAGATAATTCAGCCATAACACCTGCAAAGGGTTCCTGAGCCACTGAACCCGAGATCCACAGAACCCGAGATCCACACTGAACCTGTGGATCTTTGGGTTCAGCGTGGCTCTTCGGGTTCAGCGTGGATCTTCAAGTTCCGTGTAGATTTTCGGGTTCAGTGTTGATCTCCAGGTTCAGTGTGGATCTTCGGGTTCAGTGTGCATTTTCGGGTTCCGTGTGGATCTTTGGGTTCCGTGTGGATCACCAGGCTCCATGTGGATCAGCTCCTCTTTCTGCTCTGATATTATTAGAGCCTAATGACTTCTGTGTTCTCCTCCATGAACCTGCTCCTCCCCCCCCCCCCCCCCGGCGCTCGTTGTGACACGTCAGAAATCTGTCATCGAACGTTATTATGGCCACGGAGTTGCCAAAGTCTTCAGACTGCCGGATGGTGGTCC